CAGGCATGCAAAGACATTTGCAACAGATGCCTGGAGATACGTTGGGTGGGGGCGACGTTCTCTAAGGTTCCAGCACATTACCCTGATCCAGGAAATCCTGGCCACCACATGAACGTGTTCAAGACTCCGATTACGCTGAATGACGGACAACAACAACCTGTTGATAATTTCGCCCCTAGAGCCAATCTAGAATTTTTTGTTTTAAACGGTGCCATTTCTTCTGGCGTTAGTGAAGTGAAATTAGAAGAAGCAGGTCTGTATTTTTGTTGAGGAGAAGCACATGCTTGAGTATATCAGACATCATGAGGAACTGCAAATTGTATCTATGATAAGAGAGAATACCGGATTGTACTCCTTCGACTGCGAATTCTGGGGGGGGCATTGAAAATTTAAAAAACTTAGAGGGGGGCATCGAAAATTACCAATAACCTCAACAGGAGCCCTGTAAAAATATAAGCTTTTTTCAAGACATCTTCATCCCCCCTCGGCGTAATAAATGTACTTTCCCTAATGAGGACACGACTACAATAGATCCTGCCTTATTAGTATCTTTTTTATATAAAGAATACTAATTAGGAGTGTTTTATCAGGTTTAAACTTTAAAGCCACGTGACATATTATGGTTGACATGATTTGCCAATAAGCTTATGAATTATTAATGATGTTTGAATATTACTTAATTAAAAGATTTAGTAACAACCATACATCATGATATATATCTAATTGAACAATTACTATAAAATGTTATTCTGTTCTTCACTTCATCAAAATTAATGTTCTAATTAATAAAATTGTACCCTAAATCTTACTATTACTTCATTACATGTTTTTATCAAAATTTATGTGCTCTAAAAATTATGATTCCACTGCATAAAAGTACGTCCAAACTTTTATTAAAAGAATTGATTCACTGCATGGGTATATTTACTTGACCCAAAATTTTAGAATATTTTATACTCACAATTTGAGTGCATTGACAATTGTTGATTTACTCAAATATAGTTGAGTCACTTTCATGAATCGTTCAAAATTTTGAGTCAGCGCCAGTCAGTGTATGGATGCATTTAATCCACTCAAAAAAATTAAGTAAATTTGCTCATAAATTAATTGAGTAATTTTCTCTATTCAGAGTCACGTGCATGCCTGCACGTGGGTACATTGGTTAACCATGTTTTTGTGTCAAAACGCTCAAGTGTATTCATTGCATTATTAAGTATGTTCATTCAGTACTAATTAAATCATATTACTATATATCCTAGCTTGTTCTCTATGATGCATGGATACACTATTACAATTGGTTCAAACTTTTCATCATCAACTCTCTAACCATGTGTTTATAAAGCCACTGGGTTTATGATGCCATTGGCAGGTGGTGGTGGTGGTGAGGGCGGTGGTGAGGGTGGTGGTGGTGGTGGTGGTGGTGGTGGTGGTGATTGCTCTTCATCATTTGCTGCTTGTTGTCTGTCATACATTTCAATTTCATTCGCTGGTCTCATTCTGTTATTCTTTCTCCAACCACAGAGAAAAAAACATTTGATTATATTCCAAACATTTGACATTTTGTTCCTGGAACGAAAGATTGACATATACATACAGGGTGCATAAAAAAGTGCACAGTTCTAAAATATCCACTAAACTTTTGACATTTTTGACAACTTTGTGTTAGTATGGGTAGTTAATTTGCGGTTAGGTTAAGGATTGTCGTATTTAGAGAAAACAGAGGAGTGATATAGTTTAAAATAAATTGATGCCCAATGGTCTTTTAATTTTTCCCAGTGGCCCTTTAATTTTGCCCTAAATTATTAATAATATGTCTAACTACAAATCTTTGAATTACTCAACTTGTTCATGTTTAGCTATACAGGGTGTATCAAAATAAACGCAATTCATCTTTTGTGCTTAATAACTTTCGAAATACTGTTTCTAGTTAAACTCTTTTAGGCTTATTTCAAAGCCTGTTCTTTTCTCTTTCAAACAAACTATTATTCTTGTCTCCAATGCTAGTAATAATTGCACAGGAAAAGATTTAGTAAAACCTATCATTTTTAGTTGCTGTTTAATTATGCAAGTTTATTAATTTATTGTTTAGTCGGTTTAAATGTTAGAATTTTCTTCTTTAAACTTTAATGTTGTCGTCACTACATCTGGAAAACCACGTAAGAACAAATTAAAAGTATTTTAAAAGACACCAGGTTGTTTGAAAATCCTAAACGAATACTAAAAATCGTCAAAACATTCTGGTATCTGAGCCAGAGTGTCATCGAATTGCGATGTAATGCAAACAGAAATTATAGCAAGTTGATGTCAGTAAGCTTAGATGGTCCAAGCCAAAATTATATCGCATTTGAAGTTTCAAACTGAGTTAAAAATAGTGGAAGAAAAGCCGTAATTATACTTATTGTTACAATCCATTTAATAAAATGCAACATTTTTTTGTTTTAATGAAAAATCAGTTATTTTCATGAGAACGATTTGTTATTCCATCTCAATTTTTTTAATCTCCAATCGCAATAACGTAAAGTATTATTACCCGCGAACCAATGAGTCAAATTTAAGAAACAACCCACTGTTAGAAAGCTGAATGGCTACGCTTTAAAATAAATGTAAACTTTAATGTTTTCGTCTATTATTTGTTTAGCAATTTACATTTCAGTCGAGGATTGCGCCTTTTTTGATACACCCTTTATATATATATATATATATATATATATATATATATATATATATATATATATATATATATATATATATATATATATATATATATATATATATAGGTATAGCCTATCAACAACAAAGTTTATAATAAGCATGCATATGTATACAAGGGTTTAGTCTAAATTTACAGAACTGCATGATGTTTAACCACATGCATGCATGGATATCAACTTTCTTCTTTGAAATAAATAATATTTCTTTGAAATATATAAAAGCTCACTCACACTCAATGAATGAAGGTTCAATCTGAGCTTCTCTTGAGTGTCAATGCTGTGTTTGAATAGCTGGAGTACTCATCACATATAGTAAGGTACGATAGTACCATAGTAAGGTACGACACACACAGCTATTCAAAAACAGCAATGACACTCGGGAGAGGCTCATGGATTGAACTTCCACTCATTGAGTGTGAGTAGCCTGGCTTTTAGAATACGGGCGTTATACGTACATCCTACTTACTGCATATATATATATATATATGCAGTATATATATATATATATATATATATATATATATATATATATATATATATATATATATATATATATATATATATATATATATAGCCTATATGCTTAGCTTGCATATAAATATAGATTGAAACAACTGTTTCCTTGTTCCGTTTTGTTTTGAACTCAAGGCTTTTATTTCATACCCGAATGCCCTTATTCAGGCTATTAACTGGATGTGATTAAACGTTTGTAAAAGTTATTATTTTTTGCTCAGTTTCACACAGAGATACACATTTTTGCAACTTTAACATGACTCATCAGTGCAGACTGCAGTCTTTCTTGAAAATATCAGCTTATAGGCGTACGGGGCTGATGCTTTCCTGGGGGGCTGTTGAAGTTTGCCCGAATTTTATACAGGATTGTAATGAGATAAGTTGAATTTAACATATATTTTCTGATACCCGAATTTTCTGATACCCGAATTTTCTTGATTTTCCTAGCATTTGCCCGAATTTCTAAATTCCAAACGCCATGAAAATATGTGTCGCAATGTCTTATATCTGTTTATTAATATCAAAGTCAAATTTGTAATATAGAGCTATAATAAGTATTACAGTTATAAATTCTGTTAATCTACTTAATTTAACATCAATGTAAAAATCCAAAGTTACAAACCTACCACAAAGAAGATACGCAGCTATATATTGTTGTATTGGAACAATCTTCTCTTCGATTGCGGACGTCGACCACGAGTTTTGGGACCAAGCATAAATTATGCCAATTGGGACCAAGCATAAATTATGGAAATAAACCACGTAATGATTTCATATATTTGATCTAAAAATTTCCAAGCCTTTATCAGTATATACGCAATTCTACGATATGCATTTCAATTGTCAGAAAAATATATTATACATATATATGATTTTGTGTTAATGTTCACTCGGTAATATGATGAGGAGAAAATGTTCTTGTAGTGAGATATATCAAAACGTTGCCTGCCGTGGCTGGTTTTCGAACCCGCGACCCTCGATGCTCTACCAATGCAACTGAGCTACACGGTCAGGACAGATCAAAGACTGGAAATTATGAACTCATATGAATTTAACATATAATGTCATAAACATACTCGTTTATATTAATTCAGCATCGAACAATATACGTATAGAGGATATTACACGGCGGCGCGTGAAAACAATATTTTACGAACGAGCGCAGCGAGTGAGTAATTAAAAATATTGTTTTTAACACGAGAAGGTAAAAGTCATATCACAATAAACAGAACATTACACGGTGGCTTGATTAGTGTCAAGCAAAAAATTGTGTAAATACTAAAAGTCACGTGATCGATATCTTCATTGTAATATAATGAGTCGAAATCCTAAATCAATTCCAAATTAACAAAACAATCTTACATCCATGCATGGCCATGCATGCATCGTCCAAACGAACGTCGAATCGCGCCCTTATGTAAACAGAAGTAGCAAGTTGCTGTAACAGTTCAGCCAGTATTATAACGCATTTAATTAAAATTAGTAAGCCAAAATAACTCAATTACTTTTCGTTTTGTTGACAAAATAGGTTATTTAATTGCATTACTGGTAAATATACAAATTTATGGATCAAATTTAAGAAGCAACCCCACCATTGGAAAGATGAATGGCTACGCTTTAAAATGAAATCAATGTAAACCTAACGCTTTACATTTGAATCGGTGTTTTTTATACACCCATATATATATACAGGTTCGTGCGGGTCCGTGGGAAACCTGGAAAGTCATATAGAATTTCAATATTCCAAAATCCAAGCCTGGAAATCCTGGAAATTCAATTTTAAAAAGTCATTGAAAATTGAAATTTTACATAACGTTAACAAAGTATTTTACTTATTTTAATTTATCAGTCATAACAATAATATGAATTGTTGTTATATAACGGATTTTTGCAAGAGGGATCGGAAGTGAAAAAGGTCATGGATTTTGAAAAAAATGGTAATGGGAAGTCATGGAATTTTAAATGGAGAAGGTGTACGAACCCTGTAGCTATACAAACTTCATGGAAAGATCGAATCCCTATAAATCATATACTGTATTTTGGCTAAGAATGAGAGTCTATGGGCTTATGTATATAACGATATATATAGTCTATCCAAATGCTATTTGGTCCTGTGACAAAGCAGCGTCGAATATATATATATATATATATATATATATATATATATATATATATATATATATATATATATATATATATATATATATATATAGCTATATATGTTTACCGTAGTAGCCATTAATGATGGTTTTATAGTCAAATCCAATTGAAAATATTTGCATTCCATTGTAACAGACTCAGCGCCGCGCAACAATTAAACACGTATTTTTCCCTAACATATAATTATATACAGGTATGATATTTCGTTTGTGCTTTTCCACGAACGATTTAATGATTGCATGACATCCCGCAATAAACGAAAGTTTCTCATACCTGCAAGGATTCATATTTCGGAAGCGTCAAAATCACTCTTCTTTCACATGCATGCATTCCTGGAATGGTCGAAGACCATATGCCATGCATCACGAGCAACAATACTGATTAATCACACATAATTTCTCGTCCATTTATCCATCTATATATGCAACATAAGTAAAACAAGGTGGACTGTAATGACTGTCACTTACATAAAACGAGGCAGCAGATCATCATATCATCCGTCAAATCAATCATCCGTCTTTTGATCGAAATGGCCAATATAAGTCCAACTTTGACATGTTATCGTGCGTCAATTAATATACGTTATATATAGCTTTACAATTTTCAAACATTTCCCCCAAATGTTTGTTGCGCATTTGGGAACCATATGCTATTGCGAGTCCAGTCTACAAGCTTTCAGTATTTAAAAATGGATAAACGTAATATATAATGCACGATAACATGCCAAAGTTGGATTACCTTTTTTTTGTCACATGCATGGTGGTAGGTAGGTAGGTAGGTAGGTAAAACTTTATTTAACTACGCTAACCCCTACAGCGAAGGCTGATTTCCAAGGGGGGCGTAGATTTAAATAGTTAAAAAATTATACAAT